GCCATTTTAGCTGAGGGGCAAACACAAGCCAAACATAACCTGATTTAGTATTATTTTCAATGCAAACCGAGAATTTTTGAAGTATTATTTTGTGAAGATGCCTTCATTTTGTGGCGTTTTTGGGTGCTCCAATAGAGCTGAAAGGGATAAAGTGAGGTTTTTTAGGATTCCAGCAGCATTTAAAGATCGAGCAGGGGATCGCATAAACGAGCTATCAAAAAAACAACGGAGTATGTGAATTAGATGCCTCAAAAGGGGAGATTTGACTGTAACGTTGTTGAAAATGCTCGAATTTGTTCGAAACATTTTGTAAATGGTAAGTTTTATGTCTGTCTTGTTGTTAAAATACAAAAACACATCATCTCGGTATATCAAAAAAGTTGTTTATGTTTCTGCAAGTAGGTAACTTTTAATACCTTTTAGGTAGTCCAGCAGAATTTAAGGATATAAACAATCCGGATTGGATCCCCAGTACAAATTTAGGATATACTACGATAATAGATAAAAGCCCAGAATGAACAAGCCAGTAAGCTAAGCTACATGCCAGATCTGTGCACCGATCAGAGCAGTCAAAACGTTTAAGGAGTCGTTCTAGAGTAAAAATTAAACTGTAAGAAGCCACTGTCGTTAGCGCTGACAAAGAAAGCAGATTTCCTTTTCTCTGGGTCCCTCCTATTTAAAGTGAGACAAACGATAACGCGTGTGGCTTCTTCTCGTTTGATTTCTACTCTACCACAAATTTATTTTGGTTTCCTATTGTTGAGTTGAAATGTAGAGTGGCATGTCTGTGAATAAAGATTCATTCATTAATTCCATTCATTCACAAAAACTAAAAACAACTTAAAACTTTTTGAACAAATCAAAAAATAAAGACATAACCTCAATCCCGGAACAAGGATATTACACTTCAAGGAGAATAAACTTACTAAGGAGTGCTTATCGGCCCCTTTTTGGGTAATTGCCGCCATATTGGTTTTCAACTGTTTCCAACCACTGCTGACGTCATAACAAAGTCGCCAGCTGTTTGCGCCAGCGGTTTTATAAATTTATAATTTGTCATGAAATAGTTATTTTCCTAACAAGTGCGCAAAGTGTTACTTTTCCGCACGCAAACACAGTTATACGAACGACGCGAAGCGGAGTTCGGATAAGTGTTTGCGTGCGGAAAACACACTTTGCGCATGTGTTAGGAACAAAATTTTTCCTACGAGCTTCATATCAAGTAGGTAACAACAAAAATTAAAAAAAAAAAACGATAATTTGTTCAATTATTTTTAATTAACTTGGAGCGAACCTACGCATTTATCAAAAAATTACGTAACAAAAAAAAAATAATAAAAAATCCTCGTCAGAGCTGTTCATCTTAAAGCGTTTAAATTTGATGAGAAAGTTTGTAGATTCTTGCATATAAATAGAGAACAAATCTGACAATGTGTCAAAGTTAATTCGGTGTTCGTATAGATGTAGGCTGATAAAGAAATAGAGAAAAACTTGTCATCATGTGTCAAAGTCGACAGGTACACTTATTGTTGCTTGACAATTATTTTTCCTTTTCGGCACTCAGTGCGGATAAGGCCTGTATCCGCACTGAGTGCCGAAAAGTAAAAATAATTGTCAAGCAACAATAAGTGTACCTGTCGACTTTGACACATGATGACAAGTTTTTCTCTGTTTCTTTAGCAGCCTACATCTATACGAACACCGAATATAATTAACTTTGACACATTGTCAGATTTGTTCTCTATTTATATGCAAGAATCTACAAACTTTCTCATCAAATTTAAACGCTTTAAGATGAACAGCTCTGACGAGGATTTTTTATTATTATTTTTTTTGTTACGTAATTGTTTGATAAATGCGTAGGTTCGCTCCAAGTTAATTAAAAATAATTGAACAAATTATCGTTTTTTTTTTTTAAATTTTTGTTGTTACCTACTTGATATGAAGCTCGTAGGAAAAATTTTGTTCCTAACACGTGCGCAAAGTGTCTTTTCCGCACGCAAACACTTATCCGAACTCCGCTGCGCGTCGTTCGTATAACTGTGTTTGCGTGCGGAAAAGTAACACTTTGCGCACTTGTTAGGAAAATAACTATATTTTGATTTTGATTAACCATTATAGCGGGTAAAGGTACCCTATGCTATGATGGAACCAGTAGCGCGATATCTGGCTAGCTTTCGTCATTCCGCCTATTTACACGTTTTCAGCATGTATGATTTAATGGAGCCCTAGGAGAATTACGCGGCGTTTTGTTTACATTTCTCTATGTAAGTACCTATAATAACTATAAGATAATTTATTCTATACTATTTAATTGTTTTTAGGGTTTTCTCATATTATTATAACATATTCCTATTCGAGCATAAATTGTTTGTTTATGTATTATATTCTTGTAAATATTACTGTCCCATATGGCATATGGGCCTGGGCAGAAGGTAACATTTTTAGCTGTACTTACATTTTGTTTGTGGAATTAGCCATCAGGAAGCTTTGAATACTGCTTATGATAATGAAAATGTTGATGGCATAATATATCGAGCCCACACAGAAAGCAAAGAGCTCACTGACTAAGATTCAGCAGATGAGGAACGTGGTTTTGACTTATCTACTAGGCAACTTTTGTGCTAGTGCAGAAATTGTTTATTCGAATGGGAAATATATCACAGGTAGAGTAGAATTAACAATTTTTTGGGAAATCATACAATTTTAACCTTATTTTTATTTTCAGACATACCCGAGGAAATATAAAGTACCACCTTGCGCTACAGGAGAATATGCTTCGGGCTGCAGCAAGTGATTTTTGAGTCAATAATGATATAAGGTATTATGGACTGCATCATTATTGAAACACTTTTCCTGAACGTAAAAAAAACGATGTGGTGGTCAAAACTGTAGCAGCCGAGGAAGAACAATGTGCTGCAAATGCAATATCGACTTATTTATTCACTGTTCTCGAAAGTTTCACACTGGGTAATAATTTTCACCCATAATGCTGCTCGTGATGATGCAGGCCAAAATTCATTATAATCTATTTCGTTTATCTGACCCGAAATCATTATATCTGTACAGTATACAACAGCCTAACCGGATCTTTTTCTTATATTTTTGTAAACTTTCTACAATAGGACATTGCCAAAAGGGTCTCAAGGCTGGTATGGATCTCCCTTATAATGTCTGTATTTGAATAACTTGTATGTGTAATAAATAAATAAACATTTTATAAATAACTCTTTATTTTTATTTATAAATAGGTGAAAATTAAATTAACAAAGTCAAATAACTTGACCACAAATCTGATTTTTACTCGAACTACCTATAATATAATACTGGTAATTAGGATTTAATAAACACTTTACACGTTCTGCTGTTTGCTCGGCCATTTGTATGCCTATCTGAGAAGAGTTTAATAATTGATTAAAAGTATAACAACATTCATTACTTGTATCGGTCTCACTAGAATCTTGATTTCTTTTTCTTTCGGCAAGTTTTTCAGCACCCATGGAATCTATTTTTTGGCTCGGTTTATGGATCACTATAGAAGAGGGCAAATTCTGGGATGGTACAACTGTTTTTTTCAATATCCGACCTCTACCTGTACCTCTAAGGGTGGGTATTATAAAACTACTTTAAGAGTTAACTTAAAGTTAACTTCTGGAATTACATGTAATTCAAAAAGTTAACTTTAAGTTAACTGTCAAAGCAGTTTTATAATACCCGCCCTAAGACCTGTACTCTCACCTGTAAATAATAAAAACAGTCAATATTTTCAAACAAAACATTTTAAAAATAGATAGTACTTGATAAATGCCTAGAAGCAGGTCTAAAATGAAGCTAGGGCACAAAACTATCCATTATGCTTGTTTACCTTAACACAAAATTCTTGCTTAATTGAGATGCAGAGAATACACTTTCATGAATTTGGTGACTGGTTTGCCAATACGAAGTTTTAAAATCCAGAAGGCTTTTCTTCTCGACACTTCTTTTTCCATTTTCGTTTCCAAATAAACCCGTGGGCCTGTTTCAAGGGGAAATATGTAGAAACTCAATCCTTTGTCAGCTTTTTTTTTTTAGCCCAAGACTTGCACTGAGGAACACAACAGTAATGATTAAAAGTCATGATTATATGTACTTATCTGATAAAATTTTATAATTTTAGACTTTAATTATAGAAACTAGTTTCATAATTTCCAGCCAGCAGCCAGATCATAACATAACCTGTGGTGCAAACAGCCTACGTCAAGGCGAAAAACGCCATGATGCTTACGTCACAACTGCTTTTTTGGCTAGGCGGGGTAGGGGGGGATTTGTTACACACAGGCCTTATGAGGATAAGCCATCCTTAGTAGTGTGTATCATCCTTGATTACACTTCTCCTTCGCTACCTACCCCAACATTACGTCATTATTGTCAAAATTTCAAAATGACCATAAATGAGAGCGAAATTCAAATAAATTCTGTTTTTTTTTTTTAAAGATCTACAACTAAGTAAGAGTATCTTACTATTACTATACTAGGTGGCGCCATATACCTATTTACAATCGAACATCTCAGCAATAGGGCGCTCGAAGTACCAATGAATCTAAAAGTACAGTCTGATGTCGATTTTAATCTGATACTTCAAAGGAATGTGAGCTGATGGCTTCCTACGTTAGAACTCCAATGATCACCTGGACGTTACACCTGGAGCCGCTTTCGGGTGCTCCTAGAACAATTCACACCTGTCAGTGACCTATCATACTCCATGCGTTTTGCACTCGAACGCTTGATACCGAACGGGTCAAACTGTAGCTGGAGTACTCGAGCTCAAAAGGTGGGACCCGAAAGCAGCTCTGTTTTTGCCATATGCTTCAGCCCTCGCTCCTCATTCGGAAAGTGTCAGATTAAAAACGACGGACAATAACTAAGATCTTGGTGCATGATGTTTTTTATGCCTATACCATCATTTCGGATTAGTGACTCGATTTGATAAACTCTCCTCATGAAAGAACAACACACAAACAAATAATTAAAAATCACATTTTATTTACAGCATAATAATTTTTATAAAACAATTTTATTCAGATAACAAAAAAATCAATAAACAGATAAATTAAGAATTAGGCGATTGTAAATCTAAGTCTATGATATTTTTGATACAAATAGTTATTAATTGTACAGGACTGAAATATGATAAGGTTTAAATCCTTTATTATGTCTGTTTGAATCTGGGTTGTGACTTTTGGTGATTCATATTCCCTATATACTATTTAATACAAACTATACAAAAGTGAAATGGTGAAAAAATCTTAAATATAAATATAGACGTTTGACGCCTGCTTTGTAATTTACAATCGCACTCGAATATGCTTTGCATAGTGTGCATTTAAGTACATTTTCCCGCTAAAAAGAACAGAGATATTCAATTACACATTACTCAGAATAACTTTAGATTTGAACTATAACCACATGGATTCACACCTAGGAGAACATATTCAAAATGTATTTCTCATCAGGGTTCTTAGTTCTTATTCTTGAAACAGGGGAGCAACGTTCCCGAGAGAATGGGTGTTCCGTCTTTCTCAATGATATACAAATGATAATAGGTAAGTATAAGTAACAAAGACGGAACACTCGTTCTCCTGGGAAGGATGCTCAAGGCAAGGCTGCTCCCCTGTTTCAAGTATAAGGACTCAGATCGAAATTACGCTTTTAATACCTTCATATCACCTCAATTCAAAAATACAGTTCTGGATCATGTATTTTCGCGAAACTTCATTTCAAACTGTGTTCAGCCCATGCTAAGAAGCTTAAGCAGTGACCTTCTGCTGTGCAGTAAAGACAATAACTCTTTACTAGAACCTTCAAATATTTGGTATTAACTTTAAGTCAAAAGTTTTTTGCTAATTTGCAGCTGCTCTACTTATAAAATAACTTTATCCTCTGTTCTTCATCATTCTCCTCTAACAACTTCTAGGTACCCATTAAAAACTATTATTATTAATATTATTGTTCTGGATCGTGTCCGTCGCAGGAACTGTCAACCACTGTCACAACGTTTGATAGTCGTGCAGAATACCGCCTGGCTGATAGAGGGGTTGCCCCATTCCGGAGGCTGTGAGCGTGGGGTAGGCGTTCAATTGAGGAGGCACCATACCACCTGGATTGTAGCCCGTCATTTTGTGTCCTTCGGATTCGCTGTCCGAGCCGCTGGTGTCCATGTGCGGTTTGTCCGAAATCGATGGGTTACTGAAAAAATAAATGGTTATTTTAATAAATCAATTTTATTAGTTACGAAGACTATGATATGAGATAATCATTTTGAACATAGAGCTACTGATCTTAGAGGATCATTAACCCAAAAGCTTTAGTAATATTGACCCATACGTGTCATAGATGAACAGATGAGCAGCCTTGGCGCAACACAAAACACGAAGCAACTGTTTCCAAATAGCTATATTGAATTCAAGAAATACACTCTGCTAGACTGCTAATCTAATCTATGTTCAAGAGTTTATGGTATACCTAAATGTTGGTAGGAAGTCCCCCTTTTAATATGTTTTCACAAGAAACAAAAAAAAATCCCTTTGATATCATCATCGTATCATCATCAATCAGCCCTTTGTGCTGATTGTTGTTATTTTTCTAGCCTAAGGCTTCCACATAGTTCTTCAATTGTCTCGATTTCTTCTGATATCATCATATCAACCCATTATTGGCTTTCCGAGATGATAGATGATACCTTATCTCTGGCTCCATATTCTCCATACGGCTCCAGGAGCCGTATTCTTGAATTTCTGGGAGGAGAACTTGCTCGGGAAGTGGACGTGATTCACTTCAGAAAGGTACATATCAAATTCTTGAGAATGGGACTGTGAAGTGGAAGTTCCCGGAAATTCTGAAGTTCCCATCCTCTCACCTAAGAGAAAACGAGCACAAAACTTCGTGAAATTTTTAAGGGTAAGCAAAAATGTATGCGACGAAATAGTGGCGGTAGCATACCTACTCCGTTGAGCCACACGAAGTTCAGGAACAGGAATACGGAAATTATGCTGCGGAAAATTATGCGGAGAATTTCATACATCTGTCAAAACTGGTATTCCAACAATAAATTGACATGTTTTGATTGTTGATTTGAACCAATCAGATTGTAATTACGCGATAATTTGCACTAGTGCAAATTATCAGATAATTGCATACTAACTGGTGCGAAAACTGGTGTTTTGAAATTTTTTGACAAAAAATTTAAATTTTTGATTTAAAAAATTCTCTCATTAAATACAACTTGTGCAATGGAAATATATTTATAATTTTCGACAAATTTGCACTCATGCGTTTTTAACTGAAAAAGGCAGTGGCGTAGCCAACCTTGCGGGGCGGGAGGGGCAAACATATGAGGGGGCGCATAATTTAATTCTTCTGGAGGAAAGGGGGGGGGGTAATAAATAAATGTTTGTATGCTTTTGTACTATTTGCTTATTGGGGGAAAATATTGAAGATGAAAAGCCCGCCGGAGGCGAAAAATTTCCCCGGGTGCCACGCCCAAAAAGTTTATTTTAAGCATTCCGAAAAACATTTATGTATTAAAAGAAGTAATCTGTGGACATAACGTTAACTTAGAAAAATCCTCCCGGACGTCTCCGGACGCCCTGAAAATTAGAACAAATCCGTGGAAATCCGGAGGGATGATATAGCTCCTAGTTTGATATAGTTATTATCCTAACAAGTGCGGAAAGTTATACTTTCCCGCACGTGAACTGTCGATATTTGTCAATGATATTGCCCAGAACGTCTCATCGCACAGTTTATTATTCGCAGATGACCTCAAACTATTTAGAATAATTAACAACTTAGAGGATTGTAACGAGCTGCAGAAAGATATTGACGCACTTTCAGGTTGGTGTCAAAATAACAAATTATATCTAAACATCAATAAGTGTAAATCAATGACCATCTCAAATCTCAATCATGAGTTGAATTTTAATTACCAACTCCAATCTAGTTCTCTTTTGAAAGTTGACTCAATCCGGGATCTGGGGGTGGTGATCGCCAAAAAGCTCACATTCAATGACCATATTGATCAAATTGTGCATTCATTATTGAAAACCCTGGGGTTTATTATTAGATCAACAAGAGAGTTTAAGAACATCGACAGTCTCATCACGTTGTACAACTCTTTGGTCAAGTCTAAATTGCAGTATGCTTCTCTGGTGTGGTTTCCTTACCATCAAGTACATGTGGACAGGCTCGAATATGTTCAACGGCGATTCCTAAAGTATCTTAGTTTCAAAAAGGATGGAATTTACCCTCCAAGAGAATTTGACCACCAGTTGCTACTCAACAAGTTCAACTTCCTCTCACTTCAACAGAATACAATTTTAGCAAGTCAACTCTTTCTTTTTAAATTATGTTACAAGCTGGTGGACTCTCCAGATCTTCTAAACAGCCTTAATTTTTCTTTACCAGTAGTTAACACACGTTCCCACCGCAAATTCTATTTGGAAAATCGCCCCACATATCTTGCCAGAAATGAGCCAATCTATCGAGCCTGCTCATACTTCAATCACCTGCAGAACAGTATCGATATGTACCTACTTATTTGGAGGTTCAGTAAACTCTTTTAAAAAAAATATCTTGCCAGTAGTTTGCAATCTGTGATAATGTATTTGCTGTGATAATTGTCCTGGCGGAAGTATGGGAGGGTGACTATTTCTATCTCTATTTTTATTTCCTATTTTAACTGAGTAAACAATGCTAGTTTTTCTTATTATTTTTATTTTTGTTTTTATTTTTATTTTTATTTTTATTTATACTTATTTTTATCTATATTTCTATTTTTATTTTTATTTTGATTTTTATTTTTATTAGTTATTTTTGTTTTTAGTTTCATAGTTATTTTTATTTTTGTTTTAGGCTTCTTATTAGTTTTCTGGATCTTATGTGTGATATAATCTTAGCTTTTAATTTTCATATTTTTGTTCGCTCTTAAGTGCACTAATTGTCTCATTATTGGGAGTATGTATTCCTGTTAGACAATAAAGAATTGAATTGAATTGATACCCAAACGACGCGAAGCGGAGTTCGGGCAAGCAGTTAAGTGCGGGAAAGCTACTTTCCGCAAGAGTTAGGATTAATATTTCTTCTACAAGCACACACTTTATATATTTTTGTTCAAATTTTATTCTAATAACAATTTTCAGTAAATTCTATACAGGTGTTCCAGGTATGCCGTGCAGGAAAAAGATAGTTTCCGAATTAAAATGCGTGCGGGGAAGTGGACAAAAACGCACGCTTGTAGAAAAAACAAATAAAAATACCTACCTACATTGAAATTCATAATAATTGTTTTTCAATTTAGTTTCGGTGGTATACGGTACTTTTATTTTAACCACATCAATTATCAAAACAGAAACTCATGTTACCTTTGATTGAACTGAACCATTTTGCCAACAATGCCAACTTACGATAAAGAATAAAGGATGGAGAGGTCAATAAAATAAATAAGAAACAGCATAATTTTATAATTTCTTGTTTTTGTTTTTTAAGAGCGGTAGGGGCGCCATACGTGTAGGGGGGGGCGACCCTACTGGCTACGCCACTGGAAAAAGGCACTCGTGCACTACGTGCACTCGTGCTCTTTTTCAACTAAAAATGCATTCGGGCAAATTTCTCAAAAATTATCAATAATTTCCATTGCACTAGTTATATTACTATTGAATATTTCCCTCATGTATAAAAAAATCCCATAAGAGGAATGCAATTATCGAAAACTTACAGCGATGATGTTCATAGGGTACCTAGTTAAAAATAAATAAATTATCAGACCGAAATGCCTTTCAGCTTTCAAAGTTTGGAAAAATAAACACTAATAAACATCAAACGTGGGGTTAGATGACTTCCTCTTCGTTTTTTTTTCACTTGAAAACACGTTTTGGTTAGTCGGATTGACACTCGCATAGGCGGCAACATTGCGAGTACTTTGTGAGCATTCAAGAATACGACCTTTTAGCTCCCGGGAGCGAAAGTGAACTAGTTTTCCTGGGAACGTTTCCGGGAACACTCCCTTCCCGGGCAGTGAAGAATAGGGGGCCTGGCAATTTTCTGTTGTTTTGAATTCTCACCACGTGACCAGCATAATGTCATTTCCTTCAACAAAAGGTTGATGCTTCATCTTTATCAATTAAAAATACGAGGAGAAAGGCATGAAAGAACAATCAGAAGTAGATGACTTTTACTGCGACTATTTCATTTAGTTTTCGACTAGCATCAAGGTTTAAGGTGGCTACAGACGGTGTGCCAACGTCAGCCAACGTTGGGACCAACGTTGAGGCCAACAATCGGATATTCGTCATCATTCGCAAATTGAAAGCATTCACACGACGTGCCAGCGTTGGTGAATGTTGGTTATGTGTGAAAAATAGCGAACTTGTACCAGCATTGGTTCAATGCCTGTACAAGATGGATTCCGATGAGCTGGAAGTTGTGATTGCGGCTGCATCTACGTTGCTATTATCCACAAGTGCACTGCTAGACATCATAAAAACCCAAAAGTTAACTAGTCCCACAACTATGGTCCTACTTTCGCCAAAACATACAAACAAATGTGCACGCTCGTGTGTATGGAGAAAATGGCATTGGCCAATATATGCCAGTCGAGACCTGATCCCTTTGATGTGTGCCAGAAATACCGCCTCCGAGGCGAAAGTCGGCCAGCGCCAACGTTGGACGGAGTTCGTAGCACGTTTTCTATACACACGATCCGATAATGTTCACAAATGCGGAAGTTGGCGTATGTTTGCCATGTCGTCTGTAGGCCGCTTAAGCCAAATGTTCGCGCTCGCGTACTTGTAAATTGTACACGTCGTGTGAGCGCCCTGCTTGCCATCGCAATTCGCAAAGCTCGTATACTTGCCAAGTACGCGAATAATTCTGTATTCGCCAAGTACACGAGTCGTATGAGCCCGGGGAAGCCGGGCTCAAACGACTCGTGTACTTGGCAAATAATCGTTATTTGCGTATACTTGCCATGTCGTGTGAGTGGGTTACTTGTACAATTATTTGTCACTCGTTGGTTTTCCATTTCTTGTCGGTAAAAATGTCCCGAGTCAAAGGGATCACGATTATTCGTACACTTGCCAAGTTTATACTTGCCTATACTTGTAGAGGCGCTCAAACGAAATGCACAAATAATTGGCTTTTACTGCGACTATTTCATTTAGTTTTCGACGAGCATCAAGGTTTAGTCAAAT